GAAGGGGAAAGAGGCCACAGAATTTCAGTTCTACCATCCGACATTTTCCCTCATCCCATCTTTTTTTTTCATTTGATTTTATAGATATAAAAGATACCAGTATGAATGTGACAAAATTTTGTTAATCACAATAAAGCATAAATGCTTCTGAGTCTTGACATATATAGAAAAGCTTCCAGATGATTTAACTTTGCAGGGTATAACTGCAATATAGATGAATCAGGATATTTTCGATAGTCAGTATAACTTTATGATCTTAAAATTGAGTGGCTGTAGCATTACTTATACTTCTTTTTCATAAGCTCATTGAATGTGACTCATTAAATAACTCCTTTGTTATCTAATTAATCACTGAGATTGACCATCCAAAGCAGCCCACAGCCCCCCTTTGCAGCCATAATCCACAATAATGAGACAAAAGATATGGAGGAAAAGTACCTATGTCTGACTTCTGAACTATCATTTGAGGAAACTGGATGCCTGAATATCACACTAAAATCAAGTTTTCTATCACTATGAGATAATAAGTATTTGTTTACTAACACTCATGTCCCGGGAATTTCCAGGATCACTATGAGAGACCGATAGGGATAAAGTCTAGTCAGAGGATTTCTTAGGTGCTTCCAAAATAGAAAAGACACACAGATATCTCCACTATTGGCCTTTTTGACTGTGACAGTTCCAATAGTTTTATTTTTAAAATTATCTCATTTAGAAATGACAGCAAACCTGTGAACCAGTCACTGTTATACCACTGTTATTATGCCTATTGTTTTCAAGATATAGTAATTTTTTAAAAGGACAATTTTTATTTTTTTACTTTTTATTTTATTTTTTCAGCTTTAATTGAGTTTATTGGTGCATTTTAGGGATACAGTACAGTTACATTCATTGTTGGGATCTTGTACCTCTACATCATATGTCTTGATTCTCATTTTTTCCCCTTACCCCTGCCTTCCCTTTATCCCCTCCTCCCCTCCCCATCTACAACCACTTTATTTCCATCTTTTCATTATCTCACATTTTTTTCTTTTCCCTTATTACCCTTCCCCTACACATCCCACCTTCCCTACACCTTTAGCTCCTTTCTTCCCATTTCTAAATGTCAGTAGTCTTACTAGGATCTTCTGTATTATTGCAGATTATTCACACCAGAGAGACTATTCGGTATTTACACATGTGTGCCTTATTTGTTTCACTTAGGAGTATATCTTCAATATGTATCCAATAGATTCATTCATAAAAAGGACAATTGATGTACACAGAGTGGCTGTCTCAGGGAGGATGTGAAGCCATGATCCTGATTCTAGATATTTTCATTTAATCCCTATCTCCGAGCCTGCCCCCCAAATGTCTAGAATATTAGTTTGCTGGCGTCTGTGTGTGCTGCAGAGAGAACTGCTGTAACATGATTGTGTGGCCTTTCAGTGTGGATGTATTAAACACAGGGGGATGGGCTCGGCAGCCTTGAGCTGTTCAGAATGAAAGGCTGAATGGCCATCTGGCTTTTTTCTGTGCATCCCAGCAGACCACTTCCATACGCATCACCCATCGCATGGTGTTGTTTGACTGTCACACTGTGCTTCTGCTCACCCCTACTTCTCTCTGCCTGCCTCAGGGATCTAGCCTTGCACAGCCCTTGCAAGAGGAGCTGTTTCCCCTTGCTCCAATTGGACCCCCAAATGCTGACTGGCCAGGTGATTCCTTTGTACCAAATGATTAGAGACTCTTTGAAACAACATTAATGCTCAAAAAAAAAAAAGAGAGAGAGAGCTGGAATAAAAGGCAACCAGATAATTATTTGAAGGTAATAATTTGTTTAACATAGGAAGCAGTTGCGTATTTCTCGCAAGAGGCACTTCCCAATATTTCCTGCTATTTGATCGCATATGATGTTTAAAAGCTTAAAATATAACATTAAATATCATATATGAAATATCCCCACTACCAAACTTGAGATAGAGTCACTGTGAGATGAGAGAATACCAACATGATTCAGAAACCGCCAAACCTTCAGCCCACAGCTTTGCTCACTTTTAGAAACATTTTGTTTTCAGTTCCTTTGTTTTGAGGAGACAGTATGGCCAAGTGCTATCTTAAATTTCACTGATCGATGTGGTAGCTACTAGTCTCGTGAGTATTTAAATTAAATTTATAATTAAAAAATAAACTTGCAAGCGCAAGACCCAAGTTCAATCCCCAGTACCAATAATAATAATAATAATAATAATAATAATAATAATAATATAAAAATTCAGATTCTCTATCACCCTAGACACATTTCAACTGCTCAAGAGCCACAGGAGTTTACAGGCTGCTCTGTTGGACCACACAGATATAAATGCTCTACAGAAAAATTCTACTGGACAGGCCTGGTGTACAAAAGGAAGGTCAAACATGAGTTAGACACAGTGCCAAGAATATGTCACCGTTCTAAAATAATTGAATCTATAGATATTCTGGATTTTTATGCTTGGGAATCTGTCAGGGCTGTACTACAAGTTTTTTTCCCTGTAAAAACTCAGTAGGGCTGTCAAAAGCATCTTTACTAACCAACACATTTAGAAGAGAAAGAGGATGTTTATTTCCAAGAATTCCAGTGCATCAGGCTTTTGAAAAGTTTGCATCCCAGTGACAAAACCTAATAGCTATGTAAAGAAGAAAAGGACAAAATCACCAAAATCTCCTAAATTCACGATAGAAGAGCAGCAAATGATTAACAAGTTAAGAAAAGCTTGCCTTTTAAAACGATTGAGATTTCTTCCTACTTCATCTTTGAAAATTATTTTAATTTATTTAGATTTTCCTACACTAAAAAAAAAGCTTTTCATTTCATTAATTCATAGGCTGATCAACCTTTAATATTATAAATGCTATTAATATAAAAATTTTAACTGTCATTTATTATAAAATATACAGAGAGGAAAAAGAAGAGAACAAAGTAGAGCTTTTTTCAATGTTGCATTTTTGGCCATTTCTCTTGCTAAGTATACTTATTAAATCCAATAACTCATCTCTAGATTACTCCCAAGTTTTTCTTCCTTTCATCAATGATTTCTCTCCATTTCAAACCTGTTCTATTTGATTGTTCTATTATCCTATCCAGATCATTCAATAATAAATATGACTTTTTGCCTTCCTATTTAAGAAAAGCTCCAAATATTCTGTTTGAATAATCATGTCAATTACATATGTAATTTATTTCATACTTTCTTATTTATATTTCTTTTATCTGCTACTGACATTTTTATTAAGACACATTTCTAGATATATACCAATATGATATAAATTTTATTTAACTAAATCTTCTTATAGAGTCTCATAATTTTTATTGTCTAGTATTAATTCTTGATATCAGTTTTAAATGTTTTTATCTTGCTTACTGATCTTTCATTTTTTTCCTTGATAATTTATGCCAGAAATGCATTAGTTTTAATTAATCCCTTGAAAGGATTTTGCTTGATCTATCTCCATTTTTTATGTTTATTTTTCTTTAACTCACTGCTTTTATCTTTATTATTTGCCAAATTGTTTTCTTTTGTTTTAACTTGCTTTTTAAACTAGGATTTGATGGTTGTATCATAAATTTAGACTATTCCACTCTAAAATAAAAGCTTAGTCTCTACTATTCCCCAAGAACAACTTTTTTTTTTCTCATTGAGTTTATTGGTACTTTTTAGGTATACAGTACAGTTACATTCATCATTGGGATCTTGAACCTTTACATGACAGGTCTTGGCTCTCATTTTTTTCCCCATGCCTCTGCCCTCCCTTCACTCCTCCTCCCTTCCCTATTTACAAAAACGTTATTTCCAGTTTTTCATTTTCTCGTATTTTTTTTCTTTTCCCTTATTTCCCCTACCCTTCCCACAGGAACAACTTGATTTAGCAAACAAGATTTTATTCTTTGGAATTAAATACTAAGTTAAATATTTGAAATTTTATAAGTTCAAACAATCACATAAAGAAAATGAAATCATGATCACTTCTCAAAAATACAGAAAATTACGTGATAAAATTCAGTTTTCTCTCAGTAAGTGCTCTTGGAAAAACAGAAAATTATCAATCTAAAAACAATATCTACAAAGGAAAAAATAGTCACATGTGTGCAAATTAAAATTTAATACTTGCAAGGTGTATGTATGGCAGAGAATAGGTAATGAAAGTCTGTGGTGTCACAATACAGAAAGGTGAAAGAAAGGAAGGGAAACAAAGGGTCTCCATGAATTAAACCAGCAAAGAAAATTAAAAGCCTGGGTCACACTGGGGGCAGTGGTTTATTAAAGCAGGAAGACTGGAAGGAGGCTGCAGCTTCTACACATTCGGAGGTGTCATTAGAAATGACAAGAAGGGAAGACATCTGAAAAGCACTAAGCAGTTTCACATAAGAAAGGCTTCCCGTTAATTCCTTTCTGGAGAAAAGCGTATCCAGTTTAAGCCATAGAATTTCGAGAAAAGAGACCAAGAAAACTGCTGTCTTGTCAACAGATCATGTAAAATTTCCAGCTTGAGGGTCTCTGATTAAAAAAAAAAAAAAAACGTAGACATGAATAGGCATAATGTGGAATGAATGGGGGAAGGCATTCATATTTATGAATGAAATGTTACAGAAGCTACAAGATGAACTGCTAAAGCAAGGGGAAAACAAGGATTCTGATTTTTACAAATATATGAAAAATAAATAAAATCGTGACCGAAATTAGACGGGACCCAATTAACACCTCCTCCCGAAGAGAAGAGGAGGCGAGGAGGGTTAGGGCTTGCCGAAGAGTACAGCGGGACAGCGGCAGAAGCCAGAGAATGGCGGACGTTGAGCTCACGAACAAAAGATATGACAAATTGCTCATTTGAAGTACAGCCGGGTAGTAGGTAAGCACTGTTTGTGTAGGAAGTGTCCGCCACCCTGCGTGTGCTAATATGGAGGTAGGAACAAATAGTTTCAGGGCGCTGAGAGGTCGGGGGAAGAAAAAAAATGTTGCACTACTTCTCTTTTCTTCCAGAAACCCGCAAACCAAGCTCAAGACTCAGGAATCAAGCCCCAAAAAGGTAGACATATTGGAGCAATTCTGAAAGCTTTCCTGGGGGCAGAAAGTGTCATGGAAGAGTCTGCAGCTCCCTCGGGAGGCCAGCGGGATGCTGGGGCCCAGGCAGGTGCTGAGGCGGCGTGGGAGGGTGTATCTCCACCCGGCCTCCCCGGGCCTGAGGCCTCCGCGGCATCTCGGGAGACAATTCCTGCTTCCGTGCCTTTGGCAGCAGGCCCAGCGACCCTGCGTGTGGCTGCGGGTCCTGTGCAACCCCGCACGGCGGGCTCCAGGCCCACCCAGTCCTCAGGGGGCGGGGCCAGGCCCGGTTCTCTGCCAGAGAGGAGCAGCGGCAGCTGGACCAAGCAAATCCTCTGCAGGTATTATCTGCATGGGCAGTGCAAGGAGGGGGAGACCTGCCGCTACTCCCATGACCTCTCTAGGCGGCAGATGTCCAGGGAGTGCCATGCTTCCCCTACCCGGGCCTCTTTAGACAGAGGACCCAGCGCGGCTGTGCAGAGCCAGCCTCCGACTCAGGAAGAGCCGGAAGGCCCCGCCTCTGCATCCTCAAGCTCCTTGCCTCTGATTGGCTCGGCTGCTGCAAGGGGTTTCTTTGAAGCCGAGATGCGCTATGTAGGACCTGAAGCTGCCGGCGGAGGAGCAGGTGCAGAAGGCTGGGTGGGTGCTGTTGAGTTTGTACCTGGGCAGCCCTACCGCGGTCGCATGGTCCTTTCACAGGCTCCCCTGGCTCCCGTGGCTCCCCTGGCGCCCCCGGCTCCCCTGGCTCCCCTGGCTCCTCTGGCTCCCCTGGTTCCCCTGGCTCCCCTGGCTCCCCTGGTTCCTCTGGCTCCCCTGGTTCCCCTGGCTCCTCTTGCTCCTCTGGCTCCTCTCCCGAGCCCAAGCCCGATGGTAGCAAGAGGGCAGATGGCTGTGGGCATGTGGATGCCACTTTGCCGCTATGCTGCCAGGGGTCAGTGCTTGTATGGGGAGAGCTGTGCGTTCCTCCATGGTGATATGTGCGACATGTGTGGGCTGCAGGCCTTGCACCCTTTGGATACTGCCCAGAGGGAAGCCCATATAAGGGCCTGCGTTGAAGCACACGAGAGGGATATGGAACTCTCGTTTGCTGTGCAGCGCAGCATGGACAAGGTGTGTGGCATCTGCATGGAGGTTGTCTATGAGAAAGTCGAGCCTAGCGACCGCCGCTTTGGCATCCTTTATAGCTGCAACCACACCTACTGTCTTACCTGTATTCGCACATGGAGAAGTGGCACACAGTTTGAGAACAGGATCAGTAAATCCTGTCCTCAGTGCAGGGTCTCCTCCAGCTTTGTCATTCCCAGTGAGTTCTGGGTGGAGGATGAGGAGGAGAAGGCGAAGCTTATTCAGCAGTATAAGGAGGGAATGAAACACAAGGCCTGCAGGTATTTTGCTGAGGGCAGGGGTCACTGTCCATTTGGCGAGAACTGTTTTTACAAGCACGAGTACCCTCGGGGCCGGGGAGGTCAATATCCCAGGCCAGATGGTGGATCATCCAGCGCATACTGGCATCAAGTTCTGGAGCCAGTGAGGGTGCAAGAGCGCCCCAGGCTCTTTAAGAGCAGTAAAAAGGAGCTCGTCGCACTTCGCCTGGCAAATCTGTTGCTTAAGAAGTTTCTCGCGCTGAGAAACAGTATTACTTTCCCTGATGACCAGTGGCTCTTGCTTTATTATCAGCTAGAAGAGTATTTCCATTTGAATCTGTAGCCTCACTCTGTGGCGTGTGGTATAGTCTCGTGAGGCTCGGCTGTCTTGTTACCTGTTCGCCCTTTATTGACTGACACATGTATTGCTTTCAGGGCTTTTGAGGCAATCTTTATGCAGTGTTTCTCTCTGTTTTCCTGTGTATTTCCCCTTTATTCTCTCTGTAGTATTATGGTATTTTACTGTGTTAAAAAACAAAAAGCCCTTAAAACTATTGTTGGATGAAATTAATATTGCTGTCAGATGGCTTGTCTTGTCGTGTCTGTTTTCAGAAGGATTCGCTCAGTTCTAGTCCAGTGTTTACAGAGTTTCCACACTCATTGTGAAATCCTTCAAAAGTAAATGTGACAGGGTGAAAGATGTCTTAATTATAAGCTTTTTGCTACAATAGCCTTAAAAAGTGGACCCTTGCAGGCCCTTGCAGCTGCTGTTTGTTTACATGCCTGTGTTTGTCCTTCTTTCCCTTTCAAGTGCACTTGTTAACTTGTGGTTATATTGTGATTTCTGCTTTACTTGAGCAAAACCAGAAGCATTTCTTTACATGTTTTTATCCTGTTTAGCTTAATGTGAAATTATTTATATTTGAAAGTATATATTTGAGAATTATATATATATATAATATAAAATGTGCATTTATGTGGATTAAAGTTATGTATTTGAAAAATATTCAAGAGAATATATATGCCATACCATATATGTTTATGTAATTAAAATAAATGCAAAGCTGAAAGCTGAAGGTCAAAGGCTAGCATTGTGGGCTGTTGTGTGAATAGTGTGGATACTTTCTCTACCTATGCACAGATATCAGTGACCATCAGCTATTCAAAATGTTATAGCCAAATGTAGCAAACATAGCACTTAAGGGACTTAGAAATTATGACCTTGCTAATTTCTGTGACACTGATAGCTTACTCTGCTATTATAAATACTGAAGTGCTTGTTCCAGCACAGCAAATTTTGGGCTCAGATACACAATTTTTTGCATTCAGTATTTTATAAATATCTACCAAGATAGCAGTTTCTAGATTTTCCAAGGAAGGGGGTTTGGCAGAAATTTTCATTATAAAATAGACAAGATTATAAAAGGGCAAACAATAAAAATGCTGAAACAAGAATACAAGATTGGAGAGATACAAGAATGCTAAATAGTAAGGAGCAAAACCTAAATACACTTGATCTTAGCCAAAAGGCTGAGAAGCGATGCCAAAGCTAAATAAAATATTAACACAGAAAAATTATAATACAGATGTACCAGAATTCAATTAAATAAAACAAATTTAAAACCTTAAAAGATTATCAGACTTTCTTAAAATTAAAATGAAATGATCCATTTTAAAATGCACATGCACAGTACAAAAAATACAAAAGCATTAAAATAAGATGGGAAAATTAACAAGATAGATACTGTGACTCTTTAGCAGAGACAAAGTGTATACAGGATAAATACTTATGGAGATAAAGAGGAATGATGCTTAAACATGAGATTAAAGCTGGGGATGGAGCTCATTGGCATAGTGCTTGCCTGGCATACACAGGGTCCTCGGTTCCATTTTATTCGGGCACCAAATAAAATTATTAAATTATAATTCACCAGGAATATGTAACTATTCAAATTTTGTACTCATATATCATCACACCAGATATACGCATTAATAATTGACAACAATAGAAAAAACAGAAATTCAATTCCCTAGTGAACAATTTCAGTAAATCTTTTAGTAATCGAATAAGCAAAGAAAGAATGTAAGATTATTGAACAGCACAGTTTTAATCACTTACCTAGTTGACTTGTGCAGAATACTGTGTGCACCTGCGGATACACTTCCTGTGGCTGATAGCTGAAAATGTGCTGGGAGCCTCTGTCCCAGGACATTCTTACTGCTCTGACTAGCGATAAAAGCTAGCACATTTACAGAATTTATACCACGTGGCAAGCATACTTCAAAGTATGATTTAATTGTCAAAACTACTGTGTGTGGTACTTGATATAATTTTTCTCATGCTGATGAGGTAAATAATAATGTAGCAAGTTTACCACAGTAATAATGTAGCAAGTTTACTTTGCCCTTGTATGATCCATAAGTAAAGATTCCTAGAAAGAATGAAGCCCAGATAATTTTTTTTTCCCCATAACACTTGAGCTCACTCTTCAGCCTCTACCCCCAAATACATATCTGGGAACAGATGGAGCAGCTGCGTATAGCTACTGGAGAGGTATGTGGAGCCTTTTAAGTATGGGTGGTTCAGGCAGAGGGGCCCAGGGGTGCATAAATAAGCTCCCACTGAATGACGGAGACTTAGAACTTCTGTCTGTCTTCTGTCAGACTCAGTATGTCTCAGCCCATATACTGTTATACTGTCTCTCCTTTATGTAATCTCTAGTTCCCTGCGTAAGGGCCCCAGCCTGTCTCCCTGGGATTTCTGCCATATTCCTTGCCATCTTGATAGTTTACCAATCGAGAGACCCTGGACATCTGCATCATTCCCATCCTTGCAGAGGAAATAGGTCTCAGATGAAACAAAAAATGGAACCAGATAGGACACTTTCAGTGATTATGTTGTCAGTAGAATCTCAAGAGCTCTGGTTCAGGCCTGGGGATGTAGCTCAGTGGCACCACACCTGCCTGGCAAGCACAAGGTCCTCGGTTCAATTCCTGGTACCAAAATAACACAAAGCTCTGCTAAATACTACACTATCAGGGCGGGGATTTAAAGCTGAGCTTGAAAAACGCTGGAAATTTTCTCCTAATGTACACTGCCCAATCACATGAGATATCAGATTTTTATTCATTTTCTTGAGCCATGGGGGGATACAGTGGAATTAAGGTTAATAGAAGACATGTCTTGGGAGACATATAAGGACAATTAAAATCCAGACTCTGCTTCTTATCATAATTCATTCTAGGGAAATTATTTAAAATGTCCTCAGTTTGTTCATCTGAGAAATGGGTGTAACACTGCCTGCTTTGCAGGATTATGGTGAGGGCCGAGTATAATAATGGACAGGAGATTTGAAACAAGTCATATGTTTAAAGCGGCAAATATCAAAGTGGAATCTGTGTGTTTATGGAGCTAAGAAGCAGTTACCCAAGAATTACTATTTCAGCAAGTTTTTCTTTTTTCTGACTTCTTGGAATTTGTGTTAAGGTAGCAGTATCATTTTATGATTATGTTTGTAGACAAAGAGCATAGTACATAGTAGCCTCACTCATAGTTTCAAAAATATCATGTATTTTTCAGCCAAAATCACACAGGCTAAACATATGCTATTCAGTTAAATATTTAAAAAAAAATAAATGAAATATGCAGAAGAAATGTACATTGTTTGTGGAAGACACCTATTTGAGGAAAAATAACAAATAAGATGATCTTTTTAAAAAATGGGATTTCTGATTCCCCCATCTGCTTCTTCAGAAAGACCTCAGATCACAGATGTCCCTGCCACAAGCCTGCATGAAGGGCTCACATCTGCTTTCCTCCGAAGGAGGAGGGGCCACCCCTGCTGCAGAGTGGAACCAAAGAGCCTTTGGCGTCCAAAGTTCATTCTCTGCCACCCGAGACCCTGACTCAGAGAGTCAGCCCCGGGGTCCTTCCAGTGTCTCTCCAGCTACGACAGAAAAGGCCCAGTGAAGCAAATTCAAATCGCTTATGCTTTGCATGTCTGCATTTGGTGGAGGTGCACGCCTGCAAACGGTGCAGGAAGTTTACACAGGAGTCACACTCCTTGAAGACGCAGAAACCACTTTGTCTTACGGCTCACGTGTCGTGACATCGGTTCACTGAATTTCACTGATGTCAAGGGAAATACTTCCACGCCACACTTAATGCCGACGTGCTCTTCCATTCTGCACCGTTTAAACACCCTGAGAGTGTGGTTTCTATTTCCACAGCCAGAGGCGAACTAGAATGTACTGTGGGATGGAGTGGAGGTGGGGCTGGAAAAGGAAATGTTTAGGGAAAAATCCAGGACTGGTGCAAGAAAGTGTGTTTATGCATGTCACAATTTTCAGCACAAAAACATACAGTATTACTTTCCCCAGTATTGATTCAACATTAACAACAAAAAAATTGACTGTGTAAGAAATCACAGTGAAACTGTTAATTAAACTGAGAAATGAAAAGAAGTATGTACATTTCCTGATGTCGATACAAAAAAAGTCACTACCACTTGATAAAATGATGAATTCAAATTCATTTACCAGGATATATGATAATAAAAAATTACAAATACTGTAACCTACAGAATACTGCTGGCTGCAGGCAGTATAAAACTCTCCATTTTAAAGACTCATATATATTGTCTAGAAGAAAATAATATAATTAAATAAATACCTCTGAAAATTTAAAGACTGCAGCATGAAGTAAACACATGCAACTGTAATAAACAAAAGGAATTAAGGAAGATTAAAGCAAAAATTAGTGAATCAGACAGTGGAGATATGAAGGCTGATCTGTGGAAAAAAGGATAAACCACTAATTTAGTAAAAAGTATGATAAAGTTCAATTTAAAAAGTAAATAATGAGTAGGGATGAAATTATACTGAAGAAATGAAAATTGGTATACCTGAGGCAAATAAACTGAAAATATAAATGAAATTTAAATTTTTCATCATGAGCATGATTTTTTAAACAGCAATCCAGAAGCTAAAGTTAAATCTATATAAACCAATTACTAATTAAAAAATTGAAGAAAGCTGTAAGGGATGTATCCTTACACACACACACACACACACACATATACACACACACGCACACACACACACCAGCAGGTGATACAGTATCTGTTCCAGACATTGATGACTAAATTTAAATATATTAAAATAGTATATAAACGGTTTTAATCCATTCAGTCTGGTCTAGCATAAACTAGTAGAGACTGGGAGGCTTATAAAAGAAATTTCTCAACATTCTGAGAGCAAGGAATTAGATCAAAGCATGAGTGATTTTATGTCTGTTAAGGTCTTACCCATTTAGCCTTTTTTTCCATTTAACCATGATGAAAC